GTGAGGGGCACCATGTGGGCAGTGGACAGTGCGGGGAGGGCGGTGGGTCCAGGCCCAGGCCACGGCAAAATGTTGCAGTTTCAGATAAATGTTGCCATTTATCTGAAACGGCAACAGTTGTTGCTGTTGCCGTTATGCTGCCCAAATGCCTGCTCACCACTCTGTGAGTGAGAGAGAGAGAGAGAGAGAGAGAGAGAGAGAGAGAGAGAGAGAGATCTTCTTCTTCTTCTTCTTCTTTGTGCGCACCCTGCAGTGGCGCACGCCGCGCAAGCACGTGGGACAGCGGCCCTGCGCTGCCTTACGGCAGCCGCATGGCCGTCGCCATCGCCGCGCGCGACCGTTTCAAGCGCGCGGCGTTTTTAGTGCCCGGCCGTGGCCGAACACGGCCGAGCGTGGCCGAACGCGGCCGAGCGAGGCCGAACACGGCCGACGGCGGGCGGGCTGAGCTGCCCGCCTCGGAAGGATGGTTGAGGGCGGCCGGCCGGGGTGCTGGTGGGCCGTAGCCTGGAGCGACAACAGGGGGACACGGCGGCAGGAGCGGCGGGGGTGTCGGGTGCAGTGACATCGAGGGGCGCTACATCGATGGTGCGGCACGGTCGGACGACATCGAAGATCGAGCTCACGACTTATTGGATCGTGGTGGGGGGGTGATGACGGGGGGTGCAGGGACCAGCGGTGCGGGGGGGTCTGGGGGTGCCCAATTCAACCCGGTGTCCTAGAAAGAGATGGCGAAGTTGAGGCGAGGGAACATTGTTTGGAACTACGTCACCGCGGGCTAGTACGTCAGGGACCAGTCGAAGATGCACGGGGACCGAAAGTTGCGTTGCAACTTATGCGGCCACCTGTTTAAGGAGGGGTCATCGAAGGCCGCGCGTCATTTCACGCAGTCGAAGTTCTGCAACGCTGGGGGGATGAGAGTTCTCGCGGAACTCTAGAACGGCACGGACTACACATTTGTGTTGTACACTGCTCAGCGGGTCCAGAGGTGGATGGCAGACGAGGGCATACGGGACACGCGAGCGCCCGCGGGTGGTCAGAGACAGCGGATGGACGACGCAGAAAGGGACGACATTCACGATGCCCTCGATGAGGAGGAGGGCTGCGAGGGTGGGGCCAGGGAGGGGGCGGTTGCAGACGAGGCAGTCGGAGAGCCTAACCTGCCAGGGGAGGAGGTGGTGATGACGTCGAGAGGCGTCAGTGGAGCGGGTCCTACTACTAGGGCGCCGCGAGGTGAGGTGGACCGCGCGAGGAGGGAGAAGAGGACAGTGGGGCAGGCTGGCGTCGAGGTGCCAGACACGGGCAGGGAGAAGCGGGCTCGGCAAACCACGATTGTCGAGATGTACGCCAGGGAGAAGTTGGCCGAGTTCCATGACGCGTGGCTTCAGTGGATCTGTCAAGATGTACGCCAGGCAGACCATTTTTAACGCCTTGCGTGGTTCGGAGTTCCAGAGGGTGCGGCAGGCAGCAGAGAGAGTGCCTCGCTCTATCCAGTTCCGGTTTCCCTCCTTCACGGTTACAGTGGGGGCCGGTATCCCTTCGCAGAGGGCGAAGGTGGCGACGATGGTGAGCGAAGTGCGCGCCACTTTCCGGCACAGCGGTGCCACTATCCTTTCCGACGGGAGGAAGTCACGCAGCGGTAAGCCGCTCGTGAACTTCTTGGCAGGGAGCACCAATGGCGCCCTGCTGTACGCCACCGTCGCACGTGATGGGTCGGTCCGAGACACAACGGATGTCGTGTACCGTAGGTGGCGGGCCATCATCTTGTCCTTTCCTGCAAAGGACGTGATCGACTTCTGCACAGACTCCGCCAGTAACTATAGGGCGGCAGCGCGCAGGTTCGCCACAGACCCCAATCCTAACATCAGGAGGATCGCTTGGCTCCCTTGCTCCACCCATGTCCGCAACTTGATGTTGTCAGATATCGGGACGCGAGTGGTGTGGGTCAAGGAGACCATCATCCGCGCTCGAGCGCTTGTGTGATTTATTAAATCGCACGGCGCTGCTCATGCCCTCTTTAGGAAGGTGAGCCCTCGCGTTAAGCTCGTCGAGCCCGTTGAGACACGGTTTGCATCGGTTTTCCTGATGCTGACGTGTCTCAAAGGCCGACGAGACGCGTTGGAGAGCATGTTGCACGGGGATGCTTGGGCACACATCCCATGGGATCGCGCCCACGTATCTCAGTCGCAGTGGGTGCAGCAGCAGATCGGGGACGGGGAGTTTCCACAGCGTGTCCATTACGCCATCCTAGTCATGTCGCCCGTCCACCAGCTGTTGCGCAGGATGGATAGACGTGGGATGATGATGTCCGTCGTTTACGAGTGGAGTCAGCATCTGCTGCAGTTGATGAGGAGGGTCGACGTGCCTGAGGACATGATCGATCTATGCGTGCGTGAGGTTGCCATCCGCAACCTCCACATGCTAGAGCCCGCACATGCCGCGGCCCACCTCCTCAACCCTCGCCGACGGTCCCTCACGTATTACCATTCGCTGCAGACGACCGCCGAGGACCGCCTTGTGGTCGAGGAGTGCGACAGATTTCTCCTGGCGCAGACCGGCGGCGATCCGGTCGGGTAATTGTACAGAACCGTGAGGGACCAGATGAGGGCGTTCCACTCGAGGCGAGGGGATTGGGGAGATCGTGAGCTCTCCGATGCCGAGGCGGCAGATTGCAGGGGGGACAGCGAGACCGAGCGGTGTGCAGCGTGGTGGTTTGAGCATGGACGTGCCCACCCGGAGTTGCGCACCATCACCATCCGTGTCATGCACTTGTGGACTTCTGCCTCTCCAGCGGAGAGGAACTGGGCGGAGCACGAGCGCGTCAGCACGGCGAGGCGCTGCAAGCTTGGGTTCGCCAAGCTTGCACAGCTGGTTGAGATTGCCACCAATCTCAAACTGGCATCGTGCGCACGGCAGGGTGGTGGCTACGTGTTGCCATGGGTTATGGGGAGCGGTCGGGGGGGGACGGCGGCAGAGGAGGAGGATGAGGAGGGAGATGTGGAGCCCGAGGTGTGGGGAGCGCGACCTGATGGCAGTGTTCCTGAGAACGAGATCCAGCGGCAGATTGCCGCTTTCCGTGACAGCCGACCGTCCAAAGCTCGTTCGGTTCGGGACGTGTTCGGCAGCAGAGCGACGGAGCTGCGACCGTGGACGGAGGGTGGGGATGATGTGGACGCTGCTGCGGCAGACGACGACATCGACGACGACTGGACTGACGATGATGACACGCCGCTGAGTCGCGACCCGACGGCTGAGCGAGTGTACTTCACTTACGGTGGGGTTCGCGACGACACAGATTCATTCACATCAGTTATCACTGGTGCTGTGTCGTCGACCACGCCGGCGAGTGGCAGCAGCAGAGCCGGCGGTGGTCATGGAGGACGTTCGCATGCGGAGGTTTGCGTGGACGACTCGTAGGAGCAGCAGCCACGGGGAGGTCTTCTGCACACAGTCAGGCGTTGGGAGGTTAGGAGCGACAGCGAGGCGGAGGGGGAGGCCGAGGATGAGGAGGTGCACCTTCGCGATCGTCGCTTCTCTCCCTCCCATCATCCGATCTCTGCACAGCCCGAGGGGGAGCCACTTAGGCGTTCAGAGAGGTTGGCGTCGGCAGCAGGCAGAGACTGGACACATGATGGCGAGGATCGTGGGGGGGAGAGGACTCGTTCCGACGCCGGTATCCGCCCCCGCTCGCCGTCGGTGCTCCGCACACAGGACTTCAAGGACATAGGGCTTGGTGGGAGGCTGGCAGATTTGAGTGTTGAGGGACGTCGACGTGCCTCACCGCAGGATGTGCGCACAGATGCGGACACTGAGAGGAGCCCTGATGAGACTGAGGAGGAGAGGCATGCCCGTTTAGACCGAGAGGAGGAGGAGGGCTGAGGAGTTTGCCACGGTGGGAGGGTCGGTTCGCGTATGTCGACGAGCAGCGTCGACAGAGGGACTTGGAGACAGGAGGGGAGGGGAGCCGTGACGTCGACGACTCGGGTGTCCCTGAGGAGGCGGTTCACGGCGAGTTCGATTATGAGGGGCAGGATGTCGCCGCGGGTGTCCCTGAGGGGCAGGATGTTGTCATGGGTGGTGGGTCCCCTAGTGGGGGCCGTGGCGACAGCGAGACCGCGGGTGATGAGGGATAGGGTGCCGCAGTGTGCGACAGAGGAGAGGGTGGACCCGGTGGAGATGGGGATACCGCGGGTGCCGGTGGAGACGATGGACCGGACGGCGACGATGACGATGACCACGGTCCGGAGGACGATCCAGATAGGCTCGCCTTGGTGTTGAGGGACCCCACAGTGTCTCCCATGCGCCCTGACGGCACAACGCACACTTTCTTCGACGCCGACGCTTTGGCGCATGCGTTGACGAATGACCCTTTCGCACACATGGGCTGCAAGAGCGGCAAGCAGCGGGCCCCTGGGAGGGTATATTCACCGCCGCCATTCACAGTGCAGAGCCCTCACTGGTCGGGTTCGTCGCTCAGCGACGTTAGAGGGAGGGAGTCCGGTGCGGGTGAGGTGGGGTCCGGCAGATGCAGCGACGGCGGCAGAGATAGTGCAGGATCGATGCCTCCACCGCCCGCACGGACTCCGGAGGGCGTTAGAGGGAGGGAGTCCGGTGCGGGTGAGGTGGGGTCCGGCAGACGCAGCGACGGCGGCAGAGATAGTGCAGGATCGATGCCTCCACCGCCCGCACGGACTCCGGAGGGCAGGGTTGCCATCGGGGACCGGACGGTGGCACCTGGACTTGCGCACAGTGGCGGTTCCCCGCCGCCAGTCCGAGGAGGTGTGGGTGGCGGAGGGTCAGCTGTTCGTCGGGTCGGGGACCGGTTGCGGGCGGATTACGACGCCGGGAGGGGCGACTTCATGGGACGTGCGCCTGCTCAAACGCAGGCTGCGGAGGGCGGGTCCGGACGTTCGAGCCTGCAGATGGCAGGCCGCATGCTTGGTTTGTCACGAGCGGAGACGAGGAGGACATTGATCCTTGAGGCCCCAGGGACATCCACGGACAGGCTGTGGGGAGAGCAGTTCACATCGGGCGAGGAGGGGTTGTTGATGCGTCCCGGGACGGGACGACAGCATGGCCTCTCAGAGGTTGAGGTTCGACTCGCTGCAGGGGTCGCCGCTGGGCAGGCAGCGTTGGACGCGATTAAGAGGGAGAGAGAGAGGGGGATTGCTGCACAGGGAGAGGAGGACGAGGACGCTGACACTAAGTCCGAGCCGATCGAGACTGCGGCCCGCAGACACAGGGCACAGGTGGCCGCGGCGGCCGCTACAGCACATGCGACATACGTCAGTGGGGGATGGGGCACAGGTGCCGGAGGGAGAGGAGGGCGCCGGGGAGGATCGCAAGGCCGCGCGCACTTTGGTGGGAGAGGCCACACACGCTCTGGTGGGAGATGATGACGTCCGTGGTGTATTTTTTTTTTTCATTAGTTTTTTTTTTTTTCCCTTGGTTGTACAGCCTGGACGCTCTGTCGGCAGGGTTGTAGCATATTTATGTTGATGTTGTTCCATGGAGACGGCGATAGTATGTGGACATTAGCATTTTTTTTTGTTTTTTTTTGCTACTCGGTTGTACAGTAGAGACGACGCCCGTCGACGGGTCCAGTTTTTTTTTTGGTACTCTGTTGTGTAGCAGAGACGATGGGTCCATTTTTGTTTTTGCTACTCGGTTGTAGAGTAGAGACTACGGGTCCAGTTTTTGGCTTCAGCCTTATACATACGCATTTCCATTAAAATGCTTTGTCATATATTTGCTCTTGTTCTTGTTCCTCCGCCAACATTGGTCTTGCATCTGAGTCGCTGTTTTTTGGTAATTGTTTTCTGCTCTGTTGTCGTGAATGTTGGAAATTATGTGCTTCTCCGATGCCACGCACCTACATGTCATGTATGCCTCCATTATGAATGTGCTGTTAATTTCAGATGCGACACAGGGATGATGTGCTAATGAATGTCCATCAGTCTCATGAGTGAACACACACTATGACACACTTGCCAGTTATCATTGTTTGAAACTTGTGGTTCGCCGCACTGTGATTGATTTGCAATGTGTTTTCACATTGGTATGCCAAGCAGGGTCTGACTTATGATTGCCATAAATGTGTTGTTTTAAAATAAGCGACGAACTGTCATCGCCCTCATTAATGAAACCGACGCCTACCTTTCAGTGCGTGAGGCCCTGATCCGCCTGGGATCTGCCATCTGCAGCCCCGTCTAGCTTCGACCCGGACTGGCCGCACGGCCCGCCCCAACCAGGCCTTCATCCAACCCACGTTGGGCCACCCCCGCAGGGGTCAAATATTTTTTTTTAATTTTTCCACTGTTCCAGACCCTCCTCCCTGCAACCCCGCATCGACGAACCTGCACACGGGGGCCGCTGGATTTTTCGCGGGCCACCCTTCCAAGGTCTTGTGGAGGACCCCCCCAATTTTTTTTTTTTTGACGCCCTATCACTTTGAGGGGGTGCCCCCCCACCCCCCCACCCCAAACCCGCAGCCCGCCCCCAAAACTGCCCCCCAGATCGGCCGACACCACGGCCGAAAAAACTCGGTCGGGCCGACCTAGGCCGCCGGCCGCGGCCCGGGCCGAACTCGGTCGCGGCCAGCATGCAACATAGGTCACCATTGAAAACCATATACAGACGATCATACTCCTCAACCAGCATATTGCCTTTCCGAACAGTGGACTTCCTTTGTGCATGGCGCACCCACTTCCCTGTCCCGACGTGATGAACACTAAGCTTGGTCATGCCTTTCAAGAAACTGGGCTCCCAACGAGAGGGGAAGAAGACAACAAGTGCCAAGTGCCTTGGCGATAGGGTTTGGAGAACGCCTTGCAAGGAGGCGAAATTGTCTTCTTGCCAATTTGAGAGGAGTGTGGGATCACACAAATCGAGGACATACAAGTTACACACGTAATGTCGCACAATCTCGCGGATCTCACAGAGACGAGTGTGAGCCTTGGAAGTTGGACAACTGAAAGTAATAAGGCTGGTCACCCGGTTGATCTTGTGTCATTTGATGTGTCTCACATCCCCACTGACCCTGATCGTGTCTTGCACCTCTTCCTCCGTTCGTCGCAAGATGGAGCGGACGGACTTCTCGAAAGATTTAGAGAACCTCTCATCATCGTACATCTTCTTCGTTTCGTCGAGGGACTCCTCGTACGGAAGACAACGTGTGCAAGTGTTGACGTACTCCACCACACCTTGGAAATGCTTCCATAGTTCGACCCACACCTGATTCGTGAGGCCCCGCGGCGCGAACTCCACCAGAAGTTGTTCCTCGGTCCGAAAAAACTGGCTCCCATACCGCCAAACCTCTGCGTCCTCCTCGTATTCGAGGAACAAGACGTAGTGAAACATGCGGAGCATCATGCGGTTCACTTTCCTCGTCTCGACCATGTCTTTAATTCCAGGATTATGCTGACGTTTTAGATACCTGCCCGCCGATTGCACGAACACTCCCCTCAGCGGGAGAATGTCGTCGAGGATCGACAGTTTTTCGGCATCCGTCATGTCAGCGAGAGACTGCCAACAGAACATGTCTGACTCCTTCACGACGACGAAAAAATTGTCGTCCAATTGCATTTTCTTTATGGTCGGAGGCGTTGGGACCCGGACCAGCCACCCCATCTTCGTTTCACCAGCCGCCCCTTTCACGCCCATTTCTGGAATCGCTTGAAGACCCAGAGATTTGTCTGGCATGTATTTGCCCGAATTCGACAAGGGCGTCTTCCTGTCTCCGCCCAACAACTTTTCCTTGGCCCATTTGTCGTAGAACTTCATGCCTTTGCGGAAAACCTTATCACCGGCCGTCACGAGCGGCATCCATTGCCTCAATGCATTGCCAATGGGAGCGAGGTGGTCCTTGTCGGCGAGCGTTGTCGCTTTAGGTGTCATCGTCCAGTGACCGCCGTTTGGACTCTTTCCCAAAAGCAGCTTTTGGAAGTCGAAAAATGTTTGTTTTTCAGTCTCCTTACCGGAAGGGTTCCCTTGAATGGCCACCGGCCTTCCTTGATTCTCCCATGCCTCCCGAATGTCCTCGAAAGCGGCCTTCTGCGTACGCTGCTTAGACATCTTGTGTTTTGTGTTCTCCGTGAGACTGACCTGCAAATACCCCCCCAAAGTCTTTGTCGGAGAACCACACGACTCTCGCCGGCCACGAGTGCATCTTCCACAATTCGAATATTGGCTCATCGGCCAACTCCTTCACAGCAGCCACCCTGTGTTGTCCGTTGATGGGGTAATAGAAGTACTTGTCCTTGTCCTCTAGCTTGAAAACATCCTTGTGAACCCTCTCAACTCTCTCCGGCTTATGCGTCACCGACTTATAGATGGGTGCCAGAACCAAAGGGTTTTTCGTCCAGATCTTCCCCTTTTCCTCGTGGAACTGCGTTAGCATCACACCCTTGATGTCCTCCACACCATCGCGAGTGAGACTGTGGTGATTGTAATATCTTTTCCACGGGGGATGTCGCAGACCTTCCTGGGGTCGATGAGCAGTTGAATGGGGAGCTCATTCTCCACGATCTCACCGTCATCGTTCCGCTCGTATTCCAGCCAAAACGTTGCCGCTTCGTCATACTGCCTACCGATCGCCCTTTCGCCACCACTCGTCCCCTCAGCAGTCTTCCTCCTCCAAGGTTTCTTCTGGCCATCGCCTTCTTCAGCTGCCAGTTTCCTTTTGGATTTCTCTGAAGGTTCTCTCGTGGCGGCAATGCCTAGACGAACCGAATCTCCTTCACCCATAGCTTCTCCTTCGCAGATGATCAAACCGTCAGGCCTCTTCGGTTTCTTACTTGTTGTTGCACCCTCTTGCTTCGACTGCCTCTTTTTGACTCCTTGTTCTTGTCCGCTACGCATCCCTAGCGTCCTCTTTCCCGAGGCACGTTCTTCGACGTCACCTTCATCCCTGTCAATCATCGGCTCCAAGTGTCCTTTCATCCTCTTCATGCGCTGGGTTTGTTCCGCCACCTCCTCTCGCACCGTCTTCTGTGTCGCTCACGCATCTTCTCCGAAGAAGTCGGCTCCCGCCAGAGCTGTCACGCACAGCGCCCATCCCTTCAACCTCATTCCCTCCAGCCTCTTGGCCTAAACTGCCGGATTCTCTTCTCACCTCATCTCGAAGCGAATAGGTCTCAACCTTGCAGACGAACTTGAGGATTTTCGGAGTACCGACCCGGTGAGTCCCTGCATCTGGAGAATGCAAGCTAGACGTGTTCCCAGGAGCATCCGGGCTGACCTGTGTCTGAATGCTGCGCGTGTGCCCCTTGCCCTGACCCTCAGTGTCGTGAATCACACTCCCGTGCCCCACTGTCGTCACAGGGGTTTCTTGAGCCAAGTTGGACGACCCTTCATGGACTGGCAGAAGCCGGAAAACATATTCTCGCGGAAGAATCGGACACTCTTTCGGCACCTTCGACGCAAGATCGAGATATTCCATTGGCAGTGGAATCCGCCTGCTTTTGCCATCGTAAAGCCCTTTGAAGTGACGACAAAGTAGCATGTTCGAGCCGTACCCTGTGAAACTCTTGATCGGCACTATCGCACCCTTAACACCTTTGTAAGCCAGTCTGCAGTGGTCGTAGAAGATGTTAGTGTGCAGCTTCAGCAATCCTCCAGACTGTTTGCTGAACGAAACGATGGTACCGAGGGGATGAACGTCGGTTGCTCCCTCAACGTCTGGAAAGCAAGCGGGTCGCATGAAAACAACTGGCCCAACAAGGCTCCCCTCAACAACGAAGTCCAAAAACCATTGTGCATCCCTCGTATGGAAATACCGAGGAGTGGATTGCTGAAGAGGTCGTCCCTACCCGGGGGCAACAGCCCAACGGTTGTGGATGTGTTCTTCGCGGATGCCATTTTACTCCCAACTCGAGACCAATACGCCCGAGCCTTGACTAAACCGGTTGACCCGGAGAAAGCCACAAGGTTTTCCTAAGAGTACAACTGCAAAGTGCAAACTAACTCGGAGTTGTGGGAACGAAGACAACACTACTGTGGCGGAGTGAGTTGGGAGGAAAGATAATAACTCATTTTGGACAAAGTGCGAAACAACCCGCAATCCTGTAGATGAAGAAAGAGGTGGCTTATCTTGGTGAAAATGCGAACTAACTCGGAGTTGTGGAACTGAAGACCTCTACAACACGTACCGCATGGTCACCGACAAGTGCGAACTAACCCGCAATTATGGAGAAAAGACAACAATTCCAACTCGCAGTTCCGGAAACGAGGAACGCGCGTGCCAGAAAGACAAGGCTTATCTTGAAGCAAGTGCGAACTAACTCGGAGTTGTCGAAATGAAGACCTGAAATACGTACAACACACATGTCGAAAAAGTGCGAACTAACTCAGAGTTCTGAAAATAAAAGCCTACTTACAGGAAAGAGCCTACTTTCAGGCAAGAGGAGTCTTGTCTTCTGGAAATGAAAAGCCTGCTTTAAGGAAAGAGGCGTCTAATCCGGAATTTTGGAAACGACGACCTAAAACATATCCCACTAGGTGTCGACAAAGTGCGAACTAACTCGGAGTTCTGGATACGAAGGGCAACAGCTCCTACAACACTATGGGACGCAAAGTGTGAACTAACTCGGCCGTATAAGAGCGGGACGAAAGAACAGAAACTGCGGATTAATTCGGCCTTGTAGAAGCGGCACGGACAAGTGCCAGTACATATATATATACATATATATATTTAACAAAAACTGCGAATTAATTCGACCTTATATAGAAAGAGAGAGTCGAGTACCTGTATATGTATATGCGTGTCTATATATATATAGATATCCCAGGCCGGCGACCTCACAAGGGACACGTGAACGAAAATCGGGAATTGATTCGTTGTTCAACAAGGGCACTGACGAGTGTGTGCTGCTATATATACATATATACAAACAATATCCTGACAGCTTTCTAGCTTGCAGGTTCAGCTTCGGTGAAAGGAAATCGAGCTACGAAGCGTGGATCGGCTATGGTGGACGGAGGTGGAGGATGAAGAAATATCATATTAGAACGCGGGCCGTGGCGATAACGCGACTTCACCTGTGGACCTGCGAAACAACAAAATCGGGAATTGATTCGGGCTTCAACATGCGACGCAGACAGGGCATATGGGAATCTGTTCGGACATCGGACACAGTTGGGACAATTGAAATAGCATTTCACCTTCGTAAAACGTTCTGTGAACAACGAGCGTCGGACGGATATGGACTTACGACGAGCGAACCCGCTATGGCCGAGGGAAATCGAGTTACGAAAAACGAACTGGCTATGGCGAATGGAAGTCGCGCTACGAAGATCGAACCGGCTATGGCGGAAGGACGTGGTGGGTGAAGACAAGATATCAACACGCGCGTTGTAGCGATAGCGCGACTTGACCTGTGGAGCTGGCAGACAACAAAAGGGATACAACGAGGGCGGCAACGCCTTTTATACTTTTTCGCCCAGAGGAACTCTCCAGCAGCAGGCCTCGCGTCGGGACCAAGGAGGGTGCGGAGACGGCGTTTCGATTCGACGGTTGTTCGCATATCGCATGCCAGGGCCAATAGGATGTCAAGGCCTATAAGATGCCAGGGCCTATAAAACGGTAAGGACAGGTTGGGATTCGAAAGGTCAGAGGAACCGTAAATTGCTGCTCGTCGATCTACGAAATTCAACAGCGCAGATCAACGAAGCCACTTGCATGTCAGAGGCCTCACACTCTCCACCAACTCCGGCGTGCATTGATATGACCTTTCCAGAAAGTAAGGGACAGTCTAGGTCATTTTTGCTGTCGTAATCTCGGCCGTCGATCGTCACAATCCAACGTACAAAGTGGAGCTTCGTTACCCCCCCGAGGTCAGACGCAATAATCGCACCGCAACCGTTCGTTGCGCACCGAGGCGCGACGATCCGTTGCGCGCCGAGGCACAATTCCGAACGGTCCCGAAACCCCTGCGCGGCGGTTCATTGCGCGCCAAGGTCAACACTGGAAACAGACAAAATATGGTCTGACAGACATTGCGACATTTTGCAAATGTCAACGGCGTTGGATAGCGAGCGTCCGCAATCGCTCCATTTTGAACCAACGCTGCGCGTGCGAGCGAAATTACATCCATTCCCTCGCTCGCCATCGCCACAGTCGTTGATGCACTTAACTCATCACCATCGTAGCGCACATCTATATCCTTCATCGAAGCGCTGACAATCGCTATCGCTGTTGTCACCATCGCAGCGCTCGCCATCGCTCTCGGTAGCATCGCAGCGCTGACCATCGTTATCAATTCCGTTGTCGCAGCATCTCTCTCCATCGCTATCTATGCATCGCAGCGCTGGCCATCGCTATCGGTGTCATCGCAGAGTTGGGCCATATCCTACGTCATCTCTCTCCATCGCTGCGCCATCTTTCTCCATCACGGACTCTCTCCATCTTTGCGCGATCCCTCTCCGTCACTCGTGAACAATCTCTCTCCATCACTGCGTCATCTCTCTCCATCGCTCTTGCCTGATCACTCTCCATCGCTGCACCATCTTTCTCCATCAAGGACTCTCTTCGTCTCTGCGCGATCTCTCTCCGTCACTCTTGCACGATCTCTCTCCATCGATGCACCATCTGTCTCCATCTCTCTTGAGTGATCTCGTTGGAACCTTTGCGTGTTCCTTATCCATCTCCGCCCATCTTTTTCCATTGCGGACTCTCTCCATCGCTGCACCATCTCTCTCCATAGCTCCTGCTCGATCTCGTCTCCATCGCTGAGGGATTTCTCATCGCAACAAATTCCCTCTCCATCTCCATTGTATTATCGTTGTAGTTCGTCGTCGGTGCAATCGCCCATCATTGAGGAATCGCACGAAACAAGCGTCAGGTGTGTGTAATGAAGGATTAACACGACAGATATAACTTTGATTAAGCTAATTTTGAACTGATGTCGGATGCATTATATATAAAACATTAGTTAGCCTTTAAATGATGTTGTCTAGGTCAGTAGTGAGATATGTGGCGCTCCTGCACCATCTATCTTTATCGTTGCCCCATCGCTAACCATCGTTGTACCAGATCTCTGCATCTATGCGCCATCGCTAACCATCGTTGCGCCTGCTCTCTCGATTGGCGCGCCATCTTTCTCCATCTGTGCGCCATCTCTCTCCATCGGTGCGCGATCTCTCTCCATCGTTTCGCGATCTCTCTTCATCGTCATGCCATCTTTGTGCATCTATCCCCATCGTTGCGCCACCTTTCTCCATCTGTCTCCATTTGTCTCCATTTGTCTCCATCTCTGCGCCATCGCCGACCAATCGACCTATTGTATTGTCATTGTAGTCCGCCATCGGTGTAGCCGGCCATCATAGTCGAATCGCACGAAACAAGCTCAATGCATTTAACACTATGTATTAAGCCAATTTTGAACCAATCCCTGATGCATTATATCTACATAAATATAACTTAGACGATTCCGGAACGACACACTAACATTGCAGCCGGATATGCATGGAGTTGCCTATAAACTACATAATTGTCATATATGCTTGCAGTTGTGAGATTCGTGGATTGGAGTTGTCTATGTACAAGAATGCTTGACGGATATGCCTGCGGTTTCGAAATCGAAATAAGTGTGGTGAACAAGTCCGAGTAAACTCGCGCTTCGTCTCGACCAAAACAAAAGGAAGTCTTTTTCTATGTGCGAATTTACTCGCTCTTGAACCAACTGGGAAACTAATTTCTTATTATATGGTGAATAAGTCCACATAAACTCGCATTTGCACTCTTAGTCTCGAAACCGAAATGCTCATATCAAGTGCGAATTTATTCGGTCTTCAACCAACCAGGCCCCTGAATTTCGTACTATACAGTGGAAATGCTCATTTCAAGTGCGAATTTATTCGCTCTTGAACTAACCACCAACGCATTTTTTTACTGTATGGCGAATAAATATGAATCTACTCGCACTTGCATTCAATGTCTGAGTCTATTTCCCGCTGAACCAACCAGGAATCTATTTCCAATTGTACACGGCATAAATCCGAGTCAACTCGCACTTGTGATCTCCCCT